GCACAATCTCATTTCATCCCTCAACAGCCCATAGCCACTGCACTCCAGCCTGGGCGACAGAGCAAAAAAAAGAAAGAAAGAAAAAAAAAAAATAGAACGTGGGGAAGTCACTTCTTGCTCCATTGCCCTGGCTCTGCTGCCCCCTGGTGGTCGCTTACTCCAGCGATGCCCAAGACGCTCTATGGAACATTTCAGTTGGATTATTATTATTATTATTATTATTACTATTATTATGTTATTTATTTATTTATTTTTGAGACGGAGTTTCGATCTTGTTGCCTAGGCTGGAGTGCAATGGAGCGATCTCGGCTCACTGCAACCTCCGCCTCCCGGAATTCAGGCGATTCTCCTGCCTCAGCCTCCCGAGTAGCTGGGATTACAGGCATGCGCTGCCACGCCCAGCTCATTTTGTATTTTTAGTAGAAACGGGGTTTCTCCATGTTGGTCAGGCTGGTCACGAACTTTAGACCTCAGATGATTTGCCCGTCTCGGCCTCCCAAAGTGCTGGGATTACCGGCGTGAGCCACTGTGCCAGGCTTGGGCCATTCTATTTTATTTTATTAATAAAGAGGGGGTCTTGCTATGGTGCCCAGGCTGATCTTGAACTCCTGAGCTCAAGGGATCCACCGGCCTCAACCTCTCAAAGTGCTGGGATTACAGGTGTGAGCCACCACGCCCGACCTACTGACCATTTTCAACACCCAGTCACACAGCCAATGAATATCAAACACATTCTACAAAACAGAGGGATGTTTATTGTACCAGATGCTGGAGAACGCGGCTGTGGGCAGCTGAGGTGACCCAGGGGGTCTTTCTCAGTGGGTCCTGCTGGCCGGGTCCAGGGAACACGGGTGGTCCTCGGAGCGTTGGATGATGGAGTTGATCCAGTTTACAAACAGTGCCACCGGGGCAAAGGCATCGGGGTAGAGCCCCGAGGCGCAGCCTCCCCGGACGAACGAGGCAATTCCGTGGATTAGCCCGTTGCAGACCAAGGGGCTGCCAGAGTCCCCCTGTGGAGGCAGACAAGGTGGGGAAGCTGGACTGGGAGGCCCCGCCCACCTGCCCGCCGCCTGTCAGGGTTGGGAAGTCCCTCCTAGGGTCTAGCCACAGTGCCTGTTGCTGCAATCCGGGCTGGGAGCAGGTGGGGAGCAGAGGGACCCCCGGGGCACGTACAAAGCAGACGCCGGCCCGCCGACGCCTCACGAGAGTGCAGACGTTGCCACGGCGGCAGAGGGACGTCACCACCGTCACGTTGAGCTCCTGCAGGACACTGGCGATCCCACGGTTCCCGCCCAGATGGCCCCAGCCCATGGCCAGGCACTGCACCCCGTTACCCACGCGGCGGCCCTGGGCCGGCAGCTGGGCCACCTGCACGTTGTTGTTGATGGTGGCCGACCCATTGAGCTGTGGGGGGGGTGACAGATCGTCAGTGCGTCACACGGGGCAGTGGTGATGACCCTCCCCTCTGCGGGCCTCAGTTTTCCCATCTCAGGTTCCACTGTGGTTCTGGGATCCTGCAGAGCAGGACACCCACCCTGCAATCTGCTCCCCAAGGCGAGCCTCAGTTTCCCCATCTGTAGAGGGGCGCCATCACCAAGGCTCAGGGCGTTGGAGGTTGTCCCTGGATGTGGCAGGAAGCAGTAGGTGCTCAATTAACACAAAAACTACAGCCGGGCACGGTGGCTCACGCTTGTAAGCCCAGCACTTTGAGAGGGCGAGGCAGGAGGATCAGTTGAGGCCAGTAGTTCAAGACCAGCCTGGGCAAGCTGGCAAAGCCCCATGTCTACAACAATAAAAAAAATGCCAGGTGCGGTGGCTCACTCCTGTAATCCCAGCACTTTGGGAGGCCAAGGCGGGCGGATCACAAGGTCAGGAGATCGAGACCATCCTGGCTAACACGGTGAAACCCCGTCTCTACTAAAAATACCAACAATTAGCCAGGCTTGATGGCAGGCACCTGTAATCCCAGCTACTCCGGAGGCTGAGGCAGGATAATTGCTTGAACCTGGGAGGCGGAGATTGCAGTGACCCAGATTGAGCCACTGCACTCCAGCCTGGGCGACAGAGCAAGACTGTGTCTCAAAAAATTAAAATAAAAAATTAACCAGATGTTGCCAGACGTGGTTACTCACACCGGTAGTCCCAGCACATTGGGAGGCCGAGGTCAGGAGATCAAGACCAGCCTGGCCAACATGGTGAAACCCTGTCTCTACTAAAAATACCAAAAATTAGCCAGGCGTGGTGGTGCACCCCTGTAATCTCAGCTACCTGGGAGGCTGAGGCAGGAGAATCGCTTGAACCCAGGAGGTAGAAGCTGCAGTGAGCTGAGATTGTACTGCTGCACTCCAGCCTGGGCAACAGAGCGAGACTCCATCCCCCCCCCAAAAAAATGTGTGTATATATATATATGTGTATCAGCCAGCCGTGGTGGACGTGGTGGACATGCTGGTGGCACCTGTGGTTCCAGCTACCCCCAAGGCCAAGGTGAGAGGATGGCTTGAGCCCAGGAGGTGGAGGCTGTAGTGAGTCTCGATCATGTCACTGAACTGGGTGACAATTATGAGAAAACTGAGTGACATGTCGTGAAGCTCTCCTCACCCTTCCCAGGGAGTAACTTTTTTTTTTTTTTTTTCCTGAGACCCAGCCTGGAGTGCAATGGCACGATCTCAGCTCACTGCAACCTCCGCCTTCCGCGTTCAAGCCATTCTCCTGCCTCAGCCTCCCGAGCAGCTGGGATTACAGGCGCCCCCCACCATGCCCAGCTACATTTTTTTGTATTTTGGTAGAGACAGGGTTTCACCATGTTGGTCAGGCTGGTCTTGAACACCTGACCTTGTGATCCACCCGCCTCGGCCTCCCAAAGTGCTGGGATGACAGGCGTGAGCCACCGCGCCGGGCCCCCAGGGACTGAATCATCAGAACTGTAAGCCGGATACACGGGCCCCATTTCCCAAAGACAGAGGCGGCCCCTGCCCTCGGCCACAGGGCTGGTGAAGGGAGAGACACAAAGAATCACCGGACGTTTGTTGATTGACAGCAAATCCGGGCTTCCCTGCACAATCTCATTTCATCCCTCAACAGCCCATAGCGGGTATTTTCCCGTTTCACAGAGGTGAAGACTGAGGCACAGAGAGGGGCTCGCCCAGCCCACGGTTCCACCCCAGGTCCCCACAAGCGGCCCCGACGCGCCCCTGCGTCGCCACCTCCACCCTCCTCAGGCCTCTGGCCTCTGCCCCTGCGCCCCCCGCCCCGGGTGTCCCTTCCCCCCGCGCCCCGGGGCACCTGGAGAATCACGATGTCGTTGAGGAAGTTGATGGGGTCGTAGCCGTTTTCGAAGACGCGCTGCACGGCGAACACCTGGCGGGTGCGCTCCCGCTGCTGCAGGTTATGGGCTCCCAGGACCACGCGCAAGGAGCGGAAGTTTCTGCTGGGAGGAGAGGCGGTGGCGAGGGGCGCCCTGGGGGTCAGGGGGTCCCCACCCGAGGGGCCTGCGGGGGAAGGTGCCGGAGCCGCCCCGGGGCCCTGGCCTCCCCCGACCGTTCTCAGACCGGGACGCGGGTCCGAGCCGGGCGCACACCCTCCTGGCTACTCACACGTCCGCCACGCAGTGCGCGGCCGACATGACGAAGTTGGGCGCAATCAGGGTGGCGCCGCAGAAGTGGCCTCCACGCAGCTGCAGGGACGCCATGAAGGGCCACGCGTGGGGCTGCGCTTGCCGACCGCCCACAATCTCCGAGGCCAGCGCGGGGCCTGGGGACACACCGGGTGTGGGTGCTGAGTGCCTGACAGGGAGCCCGTGCCTTCCCGGCCACGGGGCCCCTGGATACCCCACCAGGAACCCGCGGGACCCACCGCCAGGAACCCACGGGATCCCCCACCAGGAGCCCACGGCCCCCACCAGGAACTCACGGGATCAGGACCATTCACACCCCTGTTGTTCAGATGAGGGAAACTGAGGCACGGAGAGGCAAAGGGACCTCCCCACGGTGCCCCTCCAAGGCACAGCCAGACCTGGACTTGAACCCAGAGGGCGCCCTGCGAGCCCCCCCTCCTCGGTTTGCAAACCCCAACTCTGGGCTCCTGGTAGTGGCTTCACCACTCAGAACCTCAGTCTCTTCTCCTGGTCCCCTTGTCCCAGATGGCACCTCCCCAGTGAGGATGAGGGACCCACACTGGTGGGGCCCACCATGAAGAAGTGGGAACAGAACCCCAGGGACAGAGGGAGCAGCGGAAGGATGGACACAAGGACTCACCCTCCAGCAGCAAGGCCGGCAGGACACAGGCGAGGAAAAGGCAGGAGAGTCGGCAGCCAAGGGTCATGGTGAGGCTGGTCTCCGGGGTCTCTGCCCCTCCGTGCCCACCCGGCTTCTCTTATAGCCCTGTGCCAGGAGGCCGTTGCATTGCCCCACGGCTGGCCTGCGCCCCCCACTTCCTCTCTCCTGGCACAGGGCATTGATGAAAAGGGGGAGAAAGGGGGCAAGAGGCTGGGGTTGGCTCGGGAGGGGCCGCCAGACAAAATTCAGGATGCGCAATCGCGTTTGAATGTCAAATAATCGACGTGGGTTTTTTATTTAGCTTTTTGGAGACAGAGTCTTGCTTTGTCGCCCAGGCTGGAGTACGGTGGCACAATCTTGGCTCACTGCAACCTCTGCCTCCCATGGTTCAAGTGATTCTTCGCTGGCCGTCAGGCCTTCCCTGAATAGGTGAGATTACAGGTGAAATCACACACGCGGCTGATTTTGTGTTTTTGTAGACAGACCGGGTTTCTCTGTGTTGCGGGGCTGGTCTCAGAGGTTTTTTTTTTAAATTTAACGTCGTTGTCCAAGTAGAGTCTTTAAATGACAATTAAGACTTAAAAGGTTACTTACGAGTCGTTAATGTGTGAGAGGTATAAGGGAGTATACTTATCTGGAAATGCCCAGGTTTTGAGCTGAGCATTTGCTGTGTTTTTGCCAAAGCTGCCAAAGACTAGCACCTTGAGGGGCTTAGATGGGGGTGGGCTCACCTGGCCTTCGTGTTAACCGCGAGGGCCCTGTGATACCGGCCACAAGCAGCTGTGTCGCCTGCCTCAGTTTACCCACGGCCCTGTGATACCGGCCACAAGCAGCTGTGTCGCCTGCCTCAGTTTACCCACGGCCCTGTGATACCGGCCACATGCAGCTGTGTCGGGCACTCACGGTGCAACAGGCACCTCCCTGATCCTTCTCAGGGTTCCTGTTTGGGATGAGGAAACTGAGGCATGTCAAGGGCCTCCCCAGGAGCTGCGAGTTTAACCCAGGTCTCTGGGATCCACAGCTTCACGGAGATCTGGAGCTGGCTCACTCCAGCCTTGCTCCCTGAACCTCAGGGCTCACTCTCAGGGCCGGGCCTTCCATCCTGTCCTTGGCGGTCACCCACAACGGGGAACTCACTCTCACCCAGGCTCACGGTCAGTCCCTGGACAGCAGCTGAGGCTCTGACAGTCTCTCCCGCCCTTCTGCCTTGGTGAGCTTCCCCGAAGCCCTCCCCGCCTGAGGCAGGGGACCGGCAGGCAGGGGTGCTGGAGAGAGAATTCCTGCCCAGGCTGGGAGGCTGGAATGAGGATGTCCACCCAAGCCTGAGGGCTTCTGCCTGGAGGAACTGGCAGGGGAGCTGGAGCCCCAGCCACGGGGATGGGATTCCCAGAACCCAGCCCCGGGCTCCGGGCCCCATTCCTCTTCCCATCTCCCCCACGATGTTCCAGCTGCAACGGCCGGGCCAAGGCTGTTGCAAGAACCAACGTCCTCCTGGCTCCGGGACAAGGGGAGGGGAAGGGAACCAACGGGCCTGTCTCCAGGAGCAGGCGGGGCGAGGGAGGGCACCCGGGGACACGCAGAGCCTGGGCCGGGCTGGAGTCCTGATGTGACCACAGACAAGTGGACTCCCATAGCTCTCAGGTTAGAGGGACAATGGCCCTGCCCTCCCAGAGCCTGGCACACAGCAGGCACTCCATCCACGTCTGTCCTGTCCTCAGCGTAATCAGACACACACTACCCTGCCTTCTCCCCTCCCCTTTTGGCAGGATTCCCACCTTGCTGCCTTAACATCACCATGGTGCACTTAGTAAGCACCTGCTGTATACACAGCCCAGTTTCAAGTCGGGACTGGGGGAACATTAGGGGTGGGGGTGGCCATATCTTTGGGGGGGGTGCTTGGCCTCCAGCAGGGAGATCAGACTTGGCATCAGCTGCATTTATTGAGCACCAGCTGTATACTACATTCACATGTGTAGTCATTGTTAAGTGTGCCAACGCTGGGTTCATATCCTGGTTCTGGTGTGGCCTTTTGGCCACTGTGTAGCTTCAGGCCCCTGAAATAAACTCCACGACTCAGTTTCCTCCTCTGTAAAATTACAATCTTAGGATCCATCACATAAACCTATCACGAGGGTGAAATAAATTAACGTTCGTAAAGTTCTTAGCTAAGAAAGTGTTGTCTGGCCGGGCACAGTGGCTCACGCCTGTAATTCTAGCACTTTGGGAGGCTGAGGCGGGTGGATCACCTGAGGTCGGGAGTTCGAGACCAGCCTGACCAACATGGAGAAACCCCGTCTCTACTGAAAATACAAAATTAGCCAGGCCTGGTGGCACATGCCTGTAATCCCAGCTACTCGGGAGACTGAGGCAGAAGAATCACTTGAACCCGGGAGTCGGAGGTTGCAGTGAGCCGAGATCGCACCACTGCACTCCGGCCTGGGCGACAAGAGCGAAACTCCGTCTCAAAAAAAGAAAAAAGAAAATGTTGCCTTTGAGAGCTTGTTAACCATTAACTGTGGCAGGGAAGGTAGGGTTGTTATGGTCACAGCGGGGTATAGACTCCAAGGGGAATGTGGGGTCTTCCGGGAGGCCAGGAGCATGCTAAGATTACAGCAACCTGGAGGTGTTCATATGTAAAGAGTCACTGAGGACCCACTTGGGCAACACAGCCAGACTCCGTCTCTACAAAAAAATAAGAAAATAGCTGGGTGTGGTGGCACCTGTGGTCCCAGCTACTTGGGAGGCTAAGGTGGGAGGATCACTCGAGCCCAGGAGGTTGAGGCTGCAGTGAGCCAAGACTGCACCACTGCACTCCAGCCTGGGTGACAGAGTGAGACCCTGTCTCAAAAATAATTAAGTAGGCCGGCTGCAGTGTCTCACGCCTGTAATCCCAGCACTTTGGGAGGCTGAGGCGGGTGGATCACCTGAGGTCGGGGGTTCGAGACCAGCCTGGCCAACATGGAGAAACCCCATCTCTACTAAAAATATAAAAATTAGCCGGGTGTGGTGGCCTGTGCCTGTAATCCTAGCTACTCCAGAGGCTGAGGCAGGAGAATCGCTTGAACCCGGGAGGTGGAGGTTGCAATGAACCGAGATCAGGCCACTGCACTCCAGCCTGCACGACAGAGCAACATTCTGTCTCAAAAAAAAAAAAAAAAGAAGAAAAAGAAAAAGGACAGCAAGGAGCTATGTGTGTCCTGGAGCAGGTCGTCCCCTCTCCGTGGTTAATGCCTCCTTCTCATGGCCACTTGTCCGTCTGAGCTGAACTGTGAGTCCAACCTCTTCCCCGCCTCGGACCGCCCCTCTGGCCACCCCCCAGTTCATTCCTCATGCTTCCACCAGGGGACTCCTCCCCTGCCTACTCCTCCTAGGAGAAATAGCGCTCCAACCCCATCACCCCTCTTCTGCACCCACACCCCTCCCCTGCCTGCCCTCCTTCCCATTCCCTGGCCTCTCGCCCTCAAACCTCTGCCCAGACCATGCCCCCTGCCTGGTGGCCCTTAGGATATTTCTGTTCACACCTTGGTATGCAGCTCTGGCACTGCCACCTCCTCCAGGAAGCCCTCCAGGGTGCTCCCCCATCCCCATCTGCCTCCTCAAGGAGCCCCTGAGCCGGCAGGGACACAGTGGGAGCCCTGAGGGCCCACATGGGCTTCTCGCCAGTTCTAGAAAACGTCTGGGGTGACTCCATTTTCCAGATGAGGAAACTGAGGCACGGAGATGAATAACAACCTGCCCAGGGCCACTTTGATGGGGCCGGGTTAGAACCCACAGCCACGAGCATCCAGGAGAGAGACCCCTCCCGTGACCTGGGCCCCCATCCCCGCTCCGACTCCCCCCATCCTGAGTTTGGGACTCAGGGACTTGAACCCTGGGGACCTCTGGGCAGTTCTCCCTCCCCTCCCTATGTGGGAAGGACAGACAGGAGCCGGGGGGAGTTTCAACGTTTATTGAGGTCACGGCAGGGAGAGGTGCAGGGCCGGCCTGTCTCCCGGAGCCCCGAGGGAGGCAGTGTGGGGGGACGGGTGGGGCCGTCCCGGACCCGGGTGGAGGAGGCAGTGTTCGGAGAAGAGCTGCTTCTGTCCAAAGATCCCCCTCGAGGGTTTGCAGCCGGGCTCGGGTCCCGGCCAGCGCTGTAGGGGCGGCTCAGGGGCGGCCCTCCGCCCCCACACGGCGCAGTATGGAACGGATCCAGTCCACGTAGAGGGCTACCCGCGCGAAGAAGTCGGGGAACTGGCGGGTGGCACATTCCCGGATCACAAAGGAGTCTACCCCCTGGATGACGCCGTCACAGATCAGGGGCCCACCTGAGTCTCCCTGGAGGATGGAGGATGGTCAGTCACCCAGGCTGGCCCCAGGCAGCCAGGACGGGGGCTGGGGTGACCACAAGCTGTTTCAGAATCAAATGCTTCCAATTTGGAACTTTCCCTCCCTCCCTCCCTCCCTTCCTTCCTTCCTTCCTTTCTCCTGTTTTGTTGTGTTTTGTTTTGTTTAAGACAGAGTCTAGCTCTGTCGTCCAGGCTGGAGTGCAGTGGCGTGATCTTGGCTCACTGCAAACTCTGCCTCCCGGGTTCAAGCGATTCTCCTGCCTCAGCCTCCCCGGGTCTCTCAAGACAGGGTCTCGCTCTGTCGCCCAGGCTGGAGCACGGTGGCACAATCATAGCTCACTTCAACCTCTAACTGCCTGGCTCAAGCGATCCTCCTGCCTTAGCCTCTTGAGTAGCTGAGCCTAAAGGCTCACACCACCACACCTGGCTAATATTTAAATTATCTGTAGAGATGCCGTCCTGCCCCAGGCTGGTCTCAAACTCCTGGAATCAAGCGATTCTTCCACTTCGGACTCCCAAAGTGCTGGGATTACAGGTGTGAGCCACCGCTGCTGGCCTGGAATTTTCTTTAACATGTGTGAGCACCAGCCAGGCATGGAGGCTCACGCCTGTAATCCCAGCACTTTGGGAGGCCGAGATGGGTGGATCACTTGAGGCCTAGAGTTCAAGACCAGCCTGGTCAACACGGAGAAACTGCGTCTCTACTAAAAATACCAAAAAATTAGCCAGGCACAGTGGCAGGCATCTATGCACCCAGCTACTCAGGAGGCTGGGGCAGGAGAATACCTTGAACCTGGGAGATGGAGGTTGCAGTGAACCAAGATCTCATCAT